TTCTTCAATGCCACGTGGGGTGCCGCATATGTGAGGTATTCAATTACACATGTAGATGCAACAAATATTTGTTGGTTTTAAAGTGGAAGGTTCTCTCTCCCCAAACCACCCTTAAGTCAAGGCATTCATTCTCTTCTTCCCTTTTTGTTTTTGTTTTCTTAAGCAATTCTTGATTCATTGTATATGAATGAGATTTTAAGGATTTCTAGTTCTTAACCAACGTCGTTGTCGTTGTCGTTGCCGATGTAGTCGTAGTCGTCGCATACGTCATACGTCGCCATACACACGTTCATTATTTTGTATTGCTGATTATTTTTGTATTATGGCGTTGTTGCCACAGATCCTTATCAGCTTAAATTCAAACAAAAGGCTAAGTATACGCAATATATAGGATGATATGTCGTCGTCGTGGTAGGGTAGGTTAGGGTAGGTAGGAAGGTGGTTATACATGTAGGTACTCCTAATAATGGCTGCTCACAGCATAAAACATGCAAAATTAAAAAGAAGGAGAGCAAAAAGAAGAAGAAAAAAATGGGAATCATAAAAACAACTCTCAAAAATGAATGCAGCAACCGACATGGGGCGAGGTACTTTCCAAAGAAATGTAAAGATATTCCCCGGCATTGTGCATAAACTAGAGATTATAACTTTTTTTGTTATGTTGTTGTTGTTCGTTGGCATCGAATGCATGGCAAGTAGAGCTAGGGGGTGGCTGGGGCAATGTTTTTAATGCCTTTGCAAAATATGGTTTGTGTTTGTCGACTTTTTCGTCATGCTCATCAGATGAATGGCATTGCATGCAGTGGAATGTTGGCTGGATGGCAGCTGGGCAGGAGAAATCGGGTGGGCGATTAAATTCCTTAGCTCTACAAAATGTATTTATGCCAGGATGATGACATAAGTGAAAAATGATAATCTAGCCACAACAACATGGGCAAAGCATAAAAAAGAAGCAGCCAACCAACAGCCAGCCAGCCAGCCAACCAACCAACCACTGGGAACGTCTGTGGACGATCGGGCTGCTGTAACTCGTACCATGTTGTATCACCACTACGAGGACTGGAGCTATAAACCGCAATGAATACCATCAACTCAAACAAAAACACAGTGTGCTACGTGGAACCACAAAAGGGACTACTGCTCGGTTGGCAGGGCAATAGTAAAGTGGCAAAGGCAGCAGTTCGGTTCGCAACTTGCCTATGGGGATTATGAAGATACCCAACAACGGCGCAAGCAGTGGGCAAGGCCACCAACGGGAGTAGGCTCTATATTGCGGTGGATTTTTATAGAGATTTCCTCTATAAAATCTCCGTCTGTTTTTTTTTTTTTTTTTTTTTGTATAAACACCGTTTCACACACACACCAACACATCCATTAATAGTTCGAGTCTGTGGTAAATGTGTGTGTGTGTGTTTATGTTTGTATGGCCTATATCTATTTCAAAGCAGCAGCCACAGCTGTAATAGTAGTGGTTACAGGACAACAACATTGTGTGTGTGTGTATGTATGTAGAGGTTCGTTTTCTACTAGCCAAATTCCAATGCAAGTTGGTTTTTTGGAGTTCCTTGTATGAATAACAGTTTGGCAAACTGGCATGAGCGTGGTAAGCCGTGTTGTCACATTATATAAGCTCTTTTCCTGTTTTTAATTTTCTTCACTTTTTCGCCTTTCTGTTGTTGTTTTTGCTGCTGTTGTTGCTGGCCTTTACAAATGCTGTTTTCATTTACTAGCAAAATTGTGTTGACAAAACCCCAGTCCAACGTACAGTGGTGCGATGTAACTCCCATAAAAAAAACCAAAGATGGGTGTGATTTTTTCCACAAAAACACCTGAGTGATATTTCATGGTGATATTTTACTTATGTGTTTTTAATCATTTTTATATTTGCGTAAATAAAATTTAATGTTAAAAATTGCAATACTAACGAGCGGTATGTAGTACTGCTGCACTGCAGATAATGTTTCTGAAAAAAAAAAAAAAAAACAAGAAAACCACTGTGCAACTGAGCTTTGTCAATATCCTTCCTTATGCAGAGGTAATCCCGTTTAGAGTCCGTGGGAGATAAAACTATTTTCTATAGTAAATATCAACGGCTCAGATAGAATGTAGCAATAACAAACATTTAGACAAGAGGCAACATGGATAAATAGGCAAATGGACAAAGAAGAGGGAACAAAACAAACAAACACACACACATACATACAGACACACAAAACAATTCCTTGTAAACCCACAGTTAATTCCCACTAAAAGAACTCATTTTATTCACGATGTAAGCAAGGCTTGTGTTTTTTCTGTTTTGTTTTTATGCGGCTCTGTGTCGTTTGTTTTGTTCTTAAGTGCTGGTAAATGCCAGAAATTCGTGTTGAAATAAAAGCTTCTCCTAAAATCTGTTCGGAATTAAAGCTGGAGCTTTCATATTAAGTTCAGGCAAATAGCGGTGATGGTTTAACACAAAAAAACTCCGAGTCATAAAGAGGAACAGAAATCAATTTGGTATTGTGGTGAACTACAACTGGATAAATAGATGGTCAACATTTCAAAAACTCGCATAATTGTTGTAAATACTCACATTTCCCAGGAAAAACCAACAAGGCTTATTTTATCTAGGAACTGGTGTGTATAGATAGATGTTAGTAGCTTCTAGGTTTATGGGCTAATATATTTTGTTGGGGTAGAAGAAGGTATTTGTTTGGTTTATTTAGTACAAAGGATATTGAATATGTGGAACAATGCTTTCATAAGAAAGGTCTAGCGAAAACTTATATTCCTAACAGCATTTTTAGAATCTACTAAAAATGGTAGCGAAAATTGTCACAAAAACTAATGAAGAGTTACATCATATTAGGCTACCTATACATGCGAAGTTTGGAGAATTTGTACACTGATTTACATTTTATGAGAGTAACTGGTATTCAACAAATTGGATACCATGGCGGACTCAGATTTTCCGTATTCGCTCTTGACCCCTTTCTGATATGGTGGTTACAACGGACCAAAATGATGCTATATCCGACAGCTGTTTAAATTATTTCAGTGACAGCTCATTATATTGTTTACAAGCGTACAAAAGCATTTAGGTGAGAATTTTCCAGAAAAAAAATTATTTGTAATGGAATTCAAGCGTGATAGTGTGGTTTCCTTATATGCCGGCCATGGTGATGGTGTGGGCCGCCATAACAGCCAATTGTCGATCTCCTGGAGGGTGTATTAAAGCCTTGGGTACGCAAACATTTTGGGCGCAGACCTTGGACATTCCAACAGCACCATCGCACCCAGCACGCGCCATCTAAGAATTGTTGCAAAATTAGGTTCTTCGCTCCATTTCCAGCGCACAATCCGGATACCAATACGATGGACTATTGTGTCTGGAGTATTTTGGAAAGCAAGGTTGGCACTGAAAAATACCAAAGTCTTGATTACCATAAGCAAGCACTTCGCCGGAAATGGACCAAAATACCCCAGAGCAACATTCGGGCAGCGTGTGACGATTTCATTGGCCATTTGAAGATCACAATTCGTCCAAAGGTGACCAATTCGAAAAAATCCAAACTTATTCTAAAATTTGATGCTATTTGCGATATTTTTTGCTTTCATTCAATAAAATTTAAAAAAAATGTAAAAGTTATGGCCTTTGATTTTGTTGCAGTTTTTTTATGTCACCCTGTATATATTCCATATTCACACTTTCTCTAATATGGACCAAAATATTGGGATTTCCCACCTTTCCTATCTCTTGCAGATGCTAGAACGTTAAGGCCTTAGTTCTCTTTAGACAAAATCGGCATTTTTCCCGTCGAAGTGGTGCGCACAATAACTCTCAAAGGATTGTGAGGCGATGTCCGATTTCATCCAAACTTGATACGTAAAAATACTACTATCAAACTTAGATGGAGTTCGGAGAAGAGCAATATATGTCCACGTCCACATAATTTACCTTGATTTTATTCATACTTTGCAAATCTTTATACTTGCATACGGGTCACACTTTAGTACCTAGTACCCACCCACAATAGATTAACATTTTTAATAATCAAATTTCTAAATAATAATGTTAAGAGTTTGATTTTTACCAATATAATACTTGGTGTGAAAATAGGATATATTGGTACCTCCCAAAAAGGTCAATATTTTGAATAATTAAAACTACAATCACAACGATGTCAACGATTTTCTTTCTATTTCATATATCTCAATATTTTTTCCCAACAATATTTGATTATGAAGAATATGGGTCCACTCCTTGTGGTACCTCTCACATCCCGGGTAAATAGTTTGAATTGTATCTCACATAAAATGCAAAATAATTCATTGATATTTCTTTTCATTTCGAACAATACTATATTCCCCCAACATTAGATCTAGTGTGATCAGTTCCATAGATTGGGGTCGATATTTTGATTTATTTTAACTCATAAAATGCAAAAATACATTTCAACATATGAAGTTACACATATATTTGTAGATATTTGAGAAAAATGCGTTTTTAAAAGTGAAAAAAACCACCTCTCCCCCTGTGACATGTCTATATTTAGAGAAATATTTGTGTATTTGTTTGAAATACCCCGACTTCAAATAACGGTTTGCTCCATTCAAGTAGTTTGCAATGCAATTAACGGCAAATAATTTTTTAAATTAGTTTTGAGTATTATTTTATTCACTTACCTGTCTTTGGGTGTTAGTATCGTTTTGTCCAATTAGTTTTGTTAAGAATAAACGTTAGGCGATATTTTTGCAATTGCCATTAAAAGGCTCATCTAATAGAGTGACCTACATTTCGAACTACTCTAGGTAAACAAGAATAAAAAGTACAAACAACTATACATAGATATAAAAGAGGCGAATAAAAAAATAATACCAGCAAGGCAATTCACAAACAAATAAACAACAAAATAATGATTCCCAACAAAAACAAAAAATAATAATAATAATAAATAAATGAAGAAATATCCCGGCGTAAAAATACAAAACACAAAAAGAAATAAACAAAAACAACAAACCTTTTTTGCGCCTTTGATGAACAAAAAACCAGCCCACTAAGGCGGCATTTACCAAAAGGAAGCCAAAAGCTGCCAACGAAATGCCAATTATAACCAGATTTGGCGCATTTGAATTTTCAGTTAATTCCGCTGGTAGCAATTCGAGACCTTCTTCAGGGATTTCCATGACACCGGTAAGTGGTGCACCCACGAGTGCCCCCAAAGTCAGTCGTCGAGTCGTCAGACGCACACACAATGTGATGATGGATAAACGGATGATGGTTGTTGAATAGTGGGTATGGGATGAAGACAGGGCAATAAAAATGAAAAAATGAAAAACATAAAATAAAAAGGATGAAAAACAAAGAACATAAAATTTATAAAAAATCAAATAAAATTAAATATGAATTCAATGATAGGCAACACCAAGGAGCAACAGCGACGAAAATGCTTGTCCTTGAAGGTTATTGCAGGACATCAAGATGTGAAGTGATGTGAAAAGTGTTGATTATTTTTCATTTGAAACATATAATTCTGAGGATGTTGATGTTAAATTCTCCTCAATCTTAGACGCGTTACTCATTAACTGATGATGGCAACACTTGGCTCCCCCCAAAACATATGGTGTGGCGACGATTACACCCAACAACACTTTTTCCCTTTTAATTCTTTAACCAAAGTAAACAACATCAACAACAACAAAACTAATAACAACGGAAAACACATATTTACCAATAAGTAAAGAAAGAGAATGCGACGGAAGCAAACTAAAGTAAATAAAATAACAACAAGGATTACAACAAAATGAAATGCTGTCTGTTCGGTTAAAAGGAAGAGACAACACAAGCTGGGATATTTCAAATGAAAATCTCGCCAAACAAACGGAAGGAAATAATGCAGACAACAAAATTTTTATGGTGGAAACTCTTGTATGTATGGGCCGACGACCATGCTTCAACAGAAAATACACATACAAACACACACATTCAAATACAAACACAAACACAAATGTCTATGCTTGCATAGATTAATGACAAATATAGAGAGACATTTAGGGCGTTTTCACAGTACCTCGTTTGAGACGCTTCTGATTGCGTTTGTGCAGGCAACAACCTATGATGAGGATGTTCAGAGCCACAATTGTTATGCCAGATGCTACACCGACCAGCAACAGCAGGCCGGAGGTGCCACCCAGCGGTGTGGCACTGGTTGTGGGAGGGCCGCCCAACGATGACGCTGGCTGCGATGGTGGCGGTGCTTCTGGGGCGTTATTAAAAATTCACCAGAGTAACGTAACCCCAAAGCAAATGCAGCATAAAAGACAAAATTAAAAACAAAAAAAAAGAAAGATAGTGATACACTCGGTTATAAACACATGAAGAAGACATAAATGAGTATATATTTACACAAGCATACACACACACACACCCACCCACATGGATATCTGTAACATTTGTGCTGTGCATACATGCGCGTGTTTGCGTAAATGAATGAGGACTTATCGTAGTCCTTTCAGAGCAGCTAGACATTGTTCTCCCTATTAAATGAATTCCCAACTACTGTTGCCTGCCTAGCTGAATAGTTTAGATCTTATGCAGATTTCAATTCATTAGGACGAAAGCTCGTAAAATGCAGATGACGCGAACAATAAATCAATAACGTTACAGTGTTGCTTCCTTTGCCAGTCAATGGCTGAATTATTGTGGGCTGATATAGTTAATTTGTGCACTATGCCCTCCCCACAAGTGCATTTCGCCTTTTCGGTACCGACTGACGTCGACACGTCGATACATGTTGCCCATGGCGATGCGAATTCTGTTTGTGCTGGACTTACCTTTGGTATGGGCCTTTTGTAGGTCAGGCAAGTATTTGCTCTCGCCTAAATCGTTGTACGCCATTACCGAGAACAGATACAAAGTGTTCGTTCGAAGTCCATTTATGGTGAGCTTATGACTATTGGGCAGTCCATCAATGTACTTGTATTGTTCCCGGTTAGCCTCTCTGCATCAGGATCAGAAAACGGTTGTTGACATACAAAAGACAAGGAGGGAAGAAAAGAAATGAGAAATGTTCCATGGATTAGTTTTAGTTTTGGAAATAATTTGTTTTGTCTTATTAGAGCTTATCTAATGGATGTATGCATAGAAAAAAGGAATGAAGTACAATCCTCCCTTTTGTTGTGTGCCTATATGCAGACAAGGGGAATGTGTCAATATGGACATGTTGTTAATACGATGCGTTGCAAATGTTTCCTACCTTAAACGCAAATAAGTATATGGGTTCTTTCTTGAAGAAGAATTATGTTATAAATTCAAATATTTAGAGTCCACTATGGTTCCAAACAGGATATTTTTGGCAAACACTCCAGTTTTTACGTTTTTTACTATACTCCTACCTTGCAAAATAGGGTATATTAAATTTGTCATTCCGTCTAAAAGAATTTATATTCCTGATCAGAATCTGATCTACCTAGAGCTTTAACATTTGGAATTAGGATTTATGTTATATGCAGGATGTTTGGTATTAAAAATGTTCACGTTCAGCTAATATAACGGTGCCTCCTGATTTTTGGAATTTCAAGATTTCTGTCACAATTTCTGGCCAAATCAACTATAACTTGACATTTGTGGTTCGTGAAAGGTCTGCGAAAAATGTTAGGTTAAGGTCCACTAATTGGCATAGACCCATATAACGGTTCAACTTACTGTTTGTTGCTTGTAAAATTTTACAGTATTCTCCAGCGGATGTCGCAAGCGTGGAACACGTTTTAATCCAAATACATTTTTTTACAAAATGGTGGACAGTATTGAAAGTTTGGCCCGGCCGAACTTCATGTTTTTTTTATTTACGTGTTATATGTATCAAGGTTATATAGGGTCCGCAATTTAACGTATTTTTTCAATTCACTGCTTTTTTCGTGAATGGTAACAATTATCCTTCCGCTAAACGAATATAGCTGGGCATACACTTACACAACGCTGGGAAACATTGCAACATTTCTTTGAAAATTATGCATCCGTTTGTTATCAAGGAAAATTGTTATTTGGGTTCAGAAAACTCGATGGACCCGAAACGAGTTACTGTTCGATGAAGATTTTGGTCCACTTTTCTTCGAAAATAAGCAAGGAGTGGCTTATACGTAATCGGGCAATGTTGAAAAAATTTTTGTTCAAAAGAATTGAAGAGGACGGCTCTTCGTGATACACAGCCGAAGCTATTCTTAAAAAGCATAAAGGATTTAGCCATGTCTTTTGAACATGGATCGTGGACATATATTTTGGAAAAGCCCCCATTATAACGATACCTCCTGTATTTGCAGAGTTTGGCACTATTTGTTACCCGGATATTCGGTAAATCGGCATCGGCTGAAATTGTCTTTGCCAAAAAAAAAAGAAACTGTCCATATAGGCCCATTGACGGCATACCACCACATATTCGGCTGTCACACATATTTTTGATGCCTCTGGCATCATTTTTGAATGGAATTGTTAATATAGTCAGTATTTTGAATTAATATCAGGTACCGCCATATAAGGTATTGTATATACAGGTCCATATAACTGTACTCTACCAAAATCGGTATATAAGCTACAACCTTCAAAGCAATTAAATTATAAATTAGTATCAAGTACCACGTACTTCGACAGAAAATTGTCTAGAATGGTCCATGTTGATTTAAGACACATTTTCAGTTTAAAAGTTGGCCTTTGGAGTTAGTCATTGCCATTGTTTAGCAAAAATATGTAATTATTAAATAGTAGATATTTTTATGATTTCAGCCACATGTTCAAACGAATAGAATATCTCGACACATACAAAAATCTTTTCCAAAGTGTTACCTTGAAATGGTAGAAGATATTTTTTTAAAATTTTTATTTTTATTAAAAGAGGAGATTTTGTTGAATTTTTTATTTCAAACATTCCAACAATCTTCTGTATCATTTAATAAATAATACTTCAGCTTTAACTTCTGAATTCGCTGAAACAAAAATTTCTGAAAATTGGTCCATATTTCGGTTAGTGGGTTGGTTCATATAAAGTAGTAACCATGTACAATTTTAATTACATAAATTGAATATTATTAAACAAAACGAACAATAGAAATGTTATCAAAGAAATCAGATTTGGGACCATATTGAACTGGTTTTACACAGTCAGCAGTTGTCACATGCGTTTCACTTATTCATTTTCCAAGTACAGCCAATACTGCTTTCTCTTAATATACAATACATACGTATACATATATACAAAAAATATTCCACTTACCTATAACGTACTCTGTACGATGCCTTTAGGCCACCATCAAAACCTGGTGTCCATGCCACCGTTACCGAATCATGTGTCACATTAAGAATATTCAAACTCAATGGTGTATCAGGCTGAGAAGTTATATCCAGTCGTACTGGCTCAATGTCCTGACCCAACTCATTTTTGGCCACACATTCATAGGCTCCATAATCGGCGGGAGCCACCTTCTCTATGATGAGAATCGACTCATATGTCAGCGAATCGATTTTCTTCTCCTCAACTTCATATTTGTAGGAACGGTTTACCGGTAAATCTTTTCCTTCTTGGCGCCAAATGAATTTTGGCTTTGGCGAGGATTGCGCACGACATGGCAAACGGCCACGTTCTCCAGTGCCACTGGCGGCTCTCATAAGTGTGGGAGATTTGTCTATTTCCGGAGCAACTGTAAATATAGACATGACCGAAACGTTTGATTGAAATGCAAATATTATGTCGTGTCATTGATTTCCTTTTGTTGCTGTTGTCATCTTTACTTACATTTGACTATCAGCAGTACATCGCGACTTGTAGGATTAGCAACACGATTATCGGCTATGCAACGGAAATTGCCAACATCTTCGCGCTGAGCATCTTTGATGTGCAGATACGAGGTGCCGTTTGCAAAGGTGGTCGAGGTTTTTATGGTCATGTCATAACCCAAACGCTCCCATTTGACGTGATCTTCGGTCAGGGGTTTGCCCTCCACCGAACATGACAGCATTGCATCTTCACCGGGATTGACTATGACATTCTCGGAAACACCTTTGATGGTGGTCCCATCTGTAAAGTCAACAAATAAAATAAAAACCCAATTCGGTTTGGAGACATGTCGACTCAGAGACAGTGAGACTTTGGATACTTACATTCCACCACAACTGTGACATTGATACGCGCAGAGCCCTGTGAATTGCGTGCCTCACAAACATAAACACCGGCATCGTTGCGGTGCAATTTGGTGAAGTTCAGTTTGGGTCCTTCGGCGAAAATACGAGCCTCCCCATTACCATTGGCGGGCAGTGGTTGCCCATCCTTTGACCAGGTGTAGGTAATTGACATCGGATTGGCATTTGCCTGCAGAGCAACCAGCAGAGATTCGCCCTCAACGCCCACGGCAGTGGAGGATGGCGGAGGCACGAATTTGGGTCGATCTAAATTTGATAGAAAGGTGTTTCGTGGAAACACAAAAAAAAAACAACAAATGTTAAACAAAATGACCATAGCCTCTTCCAGCTTCGGTTTGGCGGGATGCCGGGGAGCGTAGCTTCCCAACCAGTCTCTGCTCTACTACTTACACAACACATCCAGACTAATGGCCTCGTGCACACTGCGCTGGAGAGCTTCGTTGGCACTTTGACATGTGTACACTACGCCGTTCATTTCCTGTGTGATGTTTACTTTGAATTCCAACGTCGAGACGGTACCACCCCACAGGCCGGGTTTAGATGTGTTATTTATACCTAGGGGAGGCCATGCCACAAGGCCGCAGGGGAAATACAAAACAAGAAGTAAAAAGCATGTTAACGGTGATTGCCACATGAAAATAATTCAGACGATGGATGAACTGAATGGCATGGTGGTCGTAGGGGAGCGCAGGCCAGGCGCAACGGAGACATTGTAGTTTACAAGTCGGAAGTTTGCGTAAGTACATATTTCACATTTTTGCAGTCTACTTGGAAAATGCAGCAACAAACATCCTCCTCGGCAAGACTGTGATCCTGGCACAAACATCCGAATGCAGGGAAGTCAAATGGACGGGCTAAAGGAATGCTGTTAGCCTCTGTAAGCCAAATGTGATTGCGAATAGAAACAGATATTTCAGAACCACACAAACAAAACACGTTTAGGTTTACGCCTCTGACGACCTAGTATCCAACCAGTCGGACGGTTGGCCAACCGGCCAGCCATATAACGAACCGACCAGCATCGAGACAAGCACCAACAGGCAGCAGCAGCAGTCAACCTACATGTTTGCCCGGCGCCATTCCGTGCAACACTAGGAAAGTCTAGTTGAGCATCATTAGGTTCCAGCATTTACCAGAACGCCCGCCCGCCCGACTGTCTGTCTGACTGGCTGACTGGATAAATAGATGGTAGCGATGTTGTACTCAACTCAACTTGTGTGGCATGTGGCCACACCACCGGTTTTTCTGTTGGTGTGCTCCTTTTGACAACAATGACAATCCTTTGAACATCCCAATAATTTGGGCACTTTTCCAGCTTAACAACAAACCTTGCCTGTCTGCTTGCTCTGAGGTTTTTGACTTCTTTAACAATTTGCTGGCTCCATTCTATTACTAGGCCATCTCTACGTCCCGAGCCACACCACAAACGCCTGTTCACACCGAACTACACCTAAAACAATCAAGCAGCCAACTTACCCTTGATGGCAATGCCATCCCTCCACCACGACAGTTTTGCAGGTGGATTACTTGAACTGGAATCGCACACAATGGTCGCCTCAATGCCTGGTTTCAATTCTTCCGGTTCGATGCGTATCTTAACTGTTTCTGGAGCAACTGTAATTGTCCGTGTTTGTCAAAGACACACAATAAAAATTAATACTCATTCAAATTATGCCCTCCTCGGCTGGAGGATTCTTAGAATTTCCAGCGATGAACAAAAAATACTCACAGTGCACACTCAGTGTGGTCGACTCGAAAAGAGGTATCTCCGTGGCACTATTGGCTGCCTCGCAGCGATATTGAGCCTGATTATCCGTTACGTTTGCCAGAATTGTAATTTCGGCGGAGACCGACTTGTCGGCAGTGCGTATCACGGAGTTTATCTGGAATTAAGAAGAAAACGCATAAATTGTGAGCGAATAATTCTTATGGTCGTACAACTTGGCAAATGATTAAAGTTTAGTTTTTCTACATGCCACGATGGCAAAAATACGAACAACAAATAGCGTAGCGTTTGCAAATGGTAAGTGTGTTGGTAAATTATGTTTATAATTATTATTTGCGTAAAGTAACTGATGCAGAAAGTTCAACTTAGAAAAAGAAGAAGCAAATACGTATTTCATTATCTTCTGTGAAGACATCTTCCAAGAAAAATGTGTGTGTGTGTGTGTGCTATTAAAATGTCGTTTTTGTGGAACATCTCAATACGCAATTGATAGGCGTAGTATGAACTTTATATATTGAGAAAAAGCTGTACTCAGTCAGATGTCTCTTGGCGTAGAAAATAAAAAGTATCTGCGAACAATTGAAAAAAAATGCAATAGGATGACACTCTCGACACAGTAGCTTTTTAAGGGAGAGTGCTTTTCGTAATACATTTATGTGAGAGTAATGAGGCTATGAATAAAAAATTGGACGAAACACAGAGGGATCTAAATCTAATGGCAGTTATTTCCATTGGACGAAACACAGAGGGATCTAAATCTAATGGCAGTTATTATGTGACAGAAATTACTGGTACATATATAACATATATATGGAGCCAAACTGATTTAACTAATTTTGACAGAAATACCTTTACGGGGGTATATAAGGTGTGGTAGAAACGTAATAAATACATGGTGCGTATTGCGGCTGAATAAACATAAAAACATGTCGTCTATTAAATTTTGCAAACCTCTTCCTAGATTTAAATGGTCGTGTGGTCCAAATCTCTTATCCGATTATCTTCAAAATCCATAGAAAATCAACTCTGCAAAATCTAAGAAGGACAGACTGCAAAGTACAAACAAATGCACCCCGTCCTCTATCAGTTTTCTAAAAAATATCTCAAGATCCCAAGACAAACAAGTTTATTTTTTTTTTCTCAATGATATGATTGAATTTTTAGGAAATTATACAGGATTTCTAGGTAATTGTGTAGTTCACGGAAATTCGGGATTTCAAATATGGATGTGCATTGAAATGGGTATGACCTTAAATAAAATGGAGAGTCTATAAGGTTTGGCTACGTGTGTTACTTTTACGAAACGTACAATAATTATCCGAGGTATACAATAGCTATTGAAATCCTACGTCGATTTGGAAATATCCGCTTGGCTAAATCGCTCTAGTTTCCCATCGATTTAAAGTAGGTTCACAAAATATTGCTATTTTGTATTTTTGTATTGCAGAATTTTTGGCCATATAGTTATAAATTTCGGCTCAATTACTTTTTTTTTTAGAGAATGTGATTTAAAAAATCAAAAAACAATTTCTATTCCGCGCCGAATATTATCGCGAAAATATTCTGGAGGGCATTGAGCACGCAAACATTTTGGGCGTAGACCTTAGACATTCCAACAGGACTCAGCACCATCGCACTCAGCATGCGCCATCCAAGAATGGTTAAAAAATGAGGTTCCTCGCTTCATTTCCAGCGCACAATGGCCACCTAAGTCTCCGGATACCAATCCGTTGGACTTTTGTGTCTGGAGTATTTTAGAAAGCAAGGTTGGCACTAAAAATACCAAAGTGTCGATCACCTCAAGCAAGCGCTTCGCCGTGAATGGGCCAAAATACAGTAGAGCAACATTCGGGCAGCGTGTGGCGGTTTCATTGGCCATTTGAAGGCCAAAGTTTGTGCCAAATGTGACCAATTCGAGCAAATATAAAACTATTCTAAAATGATATTTCCGAAAATTTTTGCTTTCATTTAAAAAAAAAAAAATGCAAAAATGATGACATTTGACTTTGTTGCCGTTTTTTGTTTCAATCTGTATAGCTCCCGTAAATTATTTCCACCAGCTTTTAAATTTGAACCGCTCTTAAACTTTAATAACGATTTATTACAGGCAAGTCTGCTGAATGTGGTGGTGTAGGAGAATATTTGATTAGAGAGATTAGTTATTTCTTGCCTTAACATTGTTTTTTAAACACATTCCTTGAAAATCTATTTGGGTCCACTCTTCGCAATAGTGTCATATATAATGTGAGTTAAAAGCTTTTTTTTTGTAACTAACATTTAAAGATTAATGGTCCAACACATTTAAATATCTAAATTTCTATTTCATTTCATTTTATTGCAACAGTAATATTTCATTCTCATTAAAGTTGCGTCATTTATTTCATTGACTTTGAACGAAACTGAAATGATTTTAAGGGTGCTATTATGTTACAAGTAGCTAGACCACAACAATGAGGACATAGCTCATTACAATTATCATACGGAAGCACAGCACTTTGCTCATCTGAAGTTTGATTTAAAATATTCTCTCCCTCTCTTTCTATGCATCTAACTTTTGCTCCGGCTGTCCGATATTATCATTATCCTGATGTCACCGTAATTGTTTGAATTTCCATAAGACCACATACCCACAACCAGCTATGGAACACAAACTTTATCAAAAATACAACCATAGTATAATACCAATACGGAAAATGTGTAGTGAGTGAGTGTGTGTGTGTGTGAGAGTGTCTGCCGAAGAATGTTTGTCTATACACATGTTTACTAATGTCATTAACAAAGATAAAGAATTTCAATAAAACCTTCGGTATAAATATTATGAAAACTCAAATTCTCTAAACAGGTACGAATTCTATCCGGAGCAATGCTTCCCCGTCCCGTTCCATCGCCATCATCATACACGCATACACTCTACTTTGTAATACAGATATTTCTACACTTGTTTTTCATGTAGGGGCCACATGTGTACACACTCCCTATATTAACTTCTATTCCATTGTATCCTAAGGGAATGGACCTATGTATAGATCGGCATAAAGCGAGAGAGAGAGAGAGTTTAGAAACTATCTAAATTATGCCAAAGTTTTGTTAGGGTACTCTAAGAATGTTTATACAAAGCTTAATATGTTTAGAAACATATGTAAGTATGAAACGTGTGTATGTGTTAGTGTGGGTGGTCGGGTGTCTGTGTGTGTGTGTGTGTGGTAATAAAACGGTAACTAAATGTTTGAATCCATATGTAGTGTTAGAGTTATATATTATCAGTGAGTGTGTGTGTGGGTGGGTGTTTATTTGTGTGTCTCTTTCTCTAGTAAATAAACAAGGTATGTGTTGGCTAAGTATGTATGCATGTTCGTATGTATATTGAGAATATAAGTAAGACATAAAAATGCGAAACTAAAAGCTGTAAAGCCAAGATGTACACACCAATAGGTGGTTAAGCATGCTTAGAGATAAATATGCGTTTACAAATGTTTGTATATGTATGTGTTCAAGTGTGTTAATGTATTATTTAAATGGCTGTAGTTGCATGTGTTAAGCACAATGTATATACATATACATATGTGTATCTATTCTTTGTTTGGATTATTAGTTTTTGTTATTATTTTCCGATACCCTTGGTTAACAGCCTACTTCTTTTGTTTAAGCACAAAATGACTGATTAAATAGTAACGTAATTCATGTCTGCCTCAATGGCATACATTTGCTAGATATTTTGCCTCGTAAAATCCCTTATTATGGTTATGTCAGACCATTAGCATACATGACTTTTTAGAAGAAGCTATTTCATTCACGCTTGAACATTTTTGTAAATTATGAGATTAAAACTTGCAAAACACCATTATTCTCATTGATAATAAAGTTACTGGATCGTATATGGCTCTAAAGACTAATGTAAAGTCCGCACTATAGAGACCCTGGGCCAAGAGTGTCAACCAAGCTCTCCGAGTGGAACCAGTATGTCCAACACATACGAGTGGTCGTCAAAAGATTCGGTTAAAACACATAGAATAGTACATGAGTTTAAGATAGGGTTTGAGCCATTGCCAGTCATTTATTTATGATAAACGATGTTAACTTGTTTATCGGTACGACAACATGTACGAGAGCTTACGATTTAAGCGCGGGTCGATAGATCAATTGTACTTTGTTTTGCCAATGTAAAGGCTGATAGCTTGTCAAATCATACCTTATGTTCCTTGAAATCTGTCTATCCTACTACAACAAGGATGTTGTAATAAGGAGTAGAATAGGATAGACTACGATACGAAATTATTTAACCAAAATAGCCAGCTATTTTGGAGACACAATAATGTATATTCCTATACATTTATTCTCCCCTTGTCTTTAACGCTGGAAGGAGATGGGAGAACAAAACTCAAAAGGGTTCACACGTTATGGCCGATTTTAAAATCATTCCCATTCGGACATTTTAGAAGACTTTGAGGCACAAGATTTTCGTTTTCAACATAGGCATTAGGGTGTCAAATTAAAATGAACTTTTGCACTTAATAAGTGCGAAAATGTCTTAAGTTTGCCCATACTTAAATATAACCATTTACTGACAATGTCGCCAGTAGATTGGTATGTAAAATATCGGCCCCTTTTTAGAATCGTCTCCATTAAACGGCACTGCCTCATTTCCAGTATTTTTGATTTATTTTACATCAAATTATTTGTAACTCGAAACTTCGATAAAGATTTATCCCTCGCTGCAAAAAAAAAAAAAAAAAAATAAGATAGTCCACTATTTTTTGCTTCGACTTTACAGTTCCTTAGAAAACTTTAAATTTTGATCTTTCTCAGTAATAAAAACTGATATTGGCCGCTGTAGCGGAATCATTCTCCTGTTACCATTCTTTTGTTTTTCAGTAAAAAAAAAAAAACAATATTTGAGCAAAGTAAGAAAATAAGCATTTAATTCGTTGAAAACCATTCTTCGCGTTTAGACAAAAAGCTACTTATGTTCATTAAAGAAGATTCAATCCAACGGCATTTCTAACAGATGTAAAAACAAGAGAATAAGCTGTAAGTTCAGCCGTGCCGAACTTTGAATACCCTCTAACAATTGAAAAAAAGTTGCAACTTTCCAAAAAAAAAAAAAAAAAAATACTGATAAATCATTAAAATACCAAATATAGGGAGGTACCGTTATTTGGGAGTTATACGAAGGTGTGAGCTGCAACTAAAGAACTTAAAATACGAAATTAAAAATAATTCAAGTGGATATTGCCGATAAAGTCATCTATAAACCGAATATAGGGAGTTACAGTTATGTGGGGAGTACACCAAAACCTTGGGCCAAATCGGCTTCAGGAAATTTTGCGTCGATTTAGGGATGTCCGTCGTCAGTCTGGTTCGCACGAGAACTCTCGAAGGGAGTATCTGATTTGGTCCAAACTTGGTCCATTTCAATATTATTGTCAAACTTAGATCGAGTTCAAATACTAACCCATTCTTCTGTTAACCCCCTCACAAGGGGTCATTATTTCGAATATTTGTATTTCTCAGAAATGCAAATTAAGGTACCTCCCCCACAAAGGGGTCAAGATTTTCAATAACAAACAGCTCATGAAATGCCAAATAAGCATCCGATTCTTTAGGCCTATTCTGTAAAATCCAACTGCTCTTGTTATTGTTAAAAATTCTTTTGCTATTGTAATAACAACACAACAAACAAATTAATTTCTGGTTATATAAACAATGAGTAAAGCCATTAAAAAAGTTAGAGAATAGGGCCACTGACTTAACACTTGACTTTGCCTACGAAAGAAACAATATTGACTCACTAAATAATACTAAAGTGTCGATCACCTCAAGCAAGCTCTTCGTCGGGAATAGGTCATAATACCGAAATACCGCATAGCAACATTCGGGCAGCGTGTGACGGTTTCATTGGGAATTTGAAGGCCATAATTCTTGCCAAAGGTGACCAATTCGAACAAACCTAAACTTATTCTAAAATTTGATGCTGTTTTCGACATTTTTTGCTTTCATTCAATTAAATTTAAAAAAATGTAAAAATGATGGCAGTTTTTTTTATCTCAACCTATACATCGTCGGTAAAACCTAATACTAATAATTTTTAACTTATTTTTGTATTTGAATAAAAGTCAGAAGTTTTAAAAATACACAAGGAACTAATATTTTTTTCAACGTATGTAAACAGTATGTAATATTTGAAATTAATATTGAATATATTTCTTTATATCTTATTTCAAAAATACTGGGAGCCTTCTGTATTTGGCGGTTCACTTTTGAAATTATCACTTTTTCAGTGATTTAAAAGTATAAATTCTTTTCATCCTCTGTTCATTTTATGCTCCATATTAAAATCGAACACAGTCCTTTATAATCTTGATTAGTGCATTCTTAAATTTGTATACATAAATATATACATATTATTGCCGAAGAAATACATAAAAATTATAAACCATGACTTTTACATAAAGAGAGTTTTCTGCTGTAACTTAATTGCAAGTTCGGTAAAGGTCCTACGCTAGACTGTGTGACATCTTTTTCGATTTTCATTTTCTGTTGGTTGAGGTTACTTGTCATCCACATTGGTGAGTACAGTTGTGCTACACGTCATTCACACACACACACATACGCATGTTGGCATATACGGTTGAACTGCAATGTAGCTGGACACAAGTGTCAAAGCCCGGAGTAACGCCTACATCTTGCGTTTTCGTAACACTTTGCAACATCAACAAATGAAGACTAAGAGACCACAACAAACACTGGCAAAGGAAGGGGCGATTGGGCTAGGCACTCTCTTCATTGGAGAATCTGGTAAACGTATACCATAATAGTTACTTAAAATTGGCGTTTTATCACTTTATCGTGCAAACAAAGAACGCTTTAATTGTGTATTTAAAAAATCATTAGGCTCTTATTACTTAAGCGAATGGGAGGATGAGTATGGCATGGATGCAGGCTACCGTCTCCTTCTCCGCCTGTGTCATGCCACGCTTGATGTGTGACTCTGTGTGTCCTTGCTAGGGGTGAAAATGGAGCAGTAAAAACCACAGGTTAAGTACAGCTGTTGTGACCAAAGTTTTTCATTATGGCAATTTTATGTTGTAGCATAAAATAACGAGTGCTGGAATCGTTTGTCATTCTCACCCACATAAATGGACTTTGTGTCGGAATGGGCGGACTGGCTTTAAGGCATTTATCATAAAAAGGCACTGAACACTACTTTCTGATGTAGTTTTTTCTTGTTTGTCCCATCCGGGGTAGGGATCAATGGAGGTTTTATTTATATTTTTTTATTTCTTCCATTTGGAAGATGAATATTTTTTAATTTGCCACAAAACGGAGTGTTTACCTAAGAGTGGTATTTTATGTTTATGGCAAGAGCACAAAAACACACACTCACACACAAATATGAATAAAATGTGTATTAGTTGTACTTTAATGGAAATGGTACGATTTTGTAGTGTGAGTATTTGTTTATGGTCGATTTTGTTTTCTTTTTTTTATAAAATTGCAAAACTTACCCTTTTGTCATTTTTGTACCATGTTAGGGTGGCCAATGGATTACCGCCAGATGAAACACATAAAAGTTTTTGTACCGAACCAGCTGGAATAATTTGACCTTCCATATAACCAGATATAATGGGTGGCGATGGTGGATCTGCAAAAAATATAATAAGATATGAATTGGTTTAGTTTTGACTTTTGAGGCAAACAAATTTGCTACGATAAGGTTTTCAAAATAGACTCTAGAATTTGTCTGTAATGCTAATTCTACATTATTTTCAAAATATTAATTTTACCCATTGACAACTAAAAAAGCTGTAAGTCCGGCCGGGTCGAACTTTGAATATCCTCCATCATTTGGAATGAATTTACCAATTTTCATAAAAAATAAAATCCGTTAAAAATTCTGTTAAAGTCTTAAAAATCCCGAATGTAGCCGTTGTACGTGGACCTACATAGGCAACTTTTGCCATAAGTCATTACAATATTCAAATGCGAAACTTTGAAAAAAAAAAACGATGAATAATGTAGCTAAAATCGTCAAATATAGGAAGGAACCATTATGACGTGAACCTGCTCAGCCAATTTTCTGTCTTAGACTGTTATGTCTATTACGAACTTCAAATGCCAAATTTGAAAAAATTCCAGTGAATAATGTCATTAAAATCATTAAACTACCGAATATCGGGAGGTACCGTTATATGAGGGCTATACGAAGACTTGGACCTGCACAAACAATTTTTCGGCATAGGCTGTAATATTCATTACGAACTTATAATACCAAATTTGAAACAACTCCGTTGAATAAAGTCGCTAAAATCATAAAAATACCGAATATCGGAAGGCGCCGTTATATAAGTACTGAAAAAGGTGAATGTTAAAGATAATTGGTTTGTGGAGGATTGCTTAGATGCTGTCTATTTCTGTACCTGACTTAAGTATTACAAAAATATTACCACGTGTAAAGTTTTAACAGAGTTTAAATTAAATCGTAGGATGCTCCAAGTTTTGGTTGAATCGGAAAGTTATCGAGCGCAAAAGAAAAACAGACGGGTGGAAACACATCACAAGAACTTGTCTTCCATGATGCACATTTTGACCTATCATATTTTATGGACCGTCTGTAGCCATAATACTGAGGATATATTTTCCTGCATCCCGATATTTATATTTTTATGGCGTATATTTTAAAACAATAAAGTATTTCACATTTTTTTACATAAAAAAATTTAGTTCAATTAAAGTTAAACACCGGCAATAAAATAAGGATTTATAAAAAGTATAACACTATGTAAGAAATAATACAAAATTTTAAATGCCGGAGAACGGTTTTCATACACTCTTTCTTTATGTCCTGTAAAATTTATCTATCGCCCTTCCTTCACCCAAGTCATTTTATGAAGGTGAAATTATGGCTCACACAATAACAGTTTACGAGCTCATCAGTGAATGGATATTTTCTGATACGAAAACAGGTTCTCTCTTCAGTTAAATTCAGACGGACAAACAAGCCTTGACCGAAATATTAAAGTGGATTTGTAAAGACAACAGCAGCGTTCAAACAAAAACAAAAAATATATATTTAATAATAAGTATGCCGCAAGTGAATTTAACCCACACAAAGTACAAACAAGCTCGCTTGCAGTTCACCGTTCACAGTCAGTCACCTTAGTAAGAATAACGAAACACCAATACACATAAAGAGGACCAGATGGAGCATATCAAAAGAGTCTTACAGTGATTAAAAGGGATTCAGGCTTATTATCTGTTATTTTTCATACACCAGCCCTGTCATCGCACTTACACCAACCACATTAACCTATAATGTGTTCATGTGCACTCCATAGCGACGCACACACACACACGCACATCTATGAGAACATGCAAATAGACATAACTCATAAACGACGAGAACGGCAGATATGAGAATAAAAAAGAAACAGAAAATAAGGCACCTGATGTTTTCGCTAAGACACAGGCCGACAAAGTGGGGAAGACTGATGATGCCCAAAAATTATAATTTTAATTAGTCCTCTTGTAACGTTGAATGGCAACATTAACACCAACCTAGAATGGCAGCGGCAGTAGCAGCATTACAAAGTGGGTCGTATTATTTGAATAATGTTCGCGCTCAAAGCCTGTCGTAAAATTCTGGCATCCTTTATGTCTTATCTATTTATAATCATCTTCATGGTTTTACCGCTGAGTTTTATTTTCGTCCTTCACACCAATTATCCTTAAAATGAGACGCATACAGTTTCAAAAAGAAAAAAAAAAACAACTTTGGGAATTGTATTGAAATCCAAGAAGCATTAAGAAAATTAAAGCGTTCAATGAAATCGGTTCATTCATTTGCACATTAAATTAAGACCCACAGGCGGATGAAATAGATATTTAAAAATAATACCACCAATCTATATATAAATTACATTTTGTTACAAATTGGTGTTCTCTGGAATGCATGAACCGAGTTCTGCAAGCAAGCACTATACGAAAGATGACGTAAATGCAAAAGTTTTTATGTGTAAAGACATTTCATATGGTCGTGTGACACGAGCAATATTGTATCGGCTACAGAGTGGTACCTCAACAAACTCTTAATGCGGATGTGCTGGCTACTTCTAATTTCCAAAGTAAGGGTCATTATTATAAACTTTATACAGTTAAATGTAAGAGGAAATCGGACCACTAAACCTTTTTTACATCCTACTCCACACTGTGGTAGAGGGTATTATGTCTTAATGCGGATGTGCTGGATACTTCTAATTTCTAAACAAAGGGTCATTATTATAAACTTTATACAGTTAAATGTAAGTGGAAATCGGACCACTAAACCTTTTTTACACCCTACTCCACACTGTGGTAGGGAGTATTATGTCTTTGCGTATATGTTTGTAATAAGTGAAAAGGAACAAATTGTCTTCAATGATCTACATAAAATCACATTTTTAGTCAATTTATAAATGTCCATCCCTCTGTCCATGTATTTTTGTGAACAAAATTTGTTTTCCTATTGAAAATGGTTACAATTGTAGATAATCAGTTCGGATATAGGTATAGCTCTTATCTTCTATATCTATAAAAGTGAAAAATATTTGTACGTATATATATATATATATATATATATATATATATATATATATATATATATATATATATATATATATATATATATATATATATATACACATTAGGATAGGATATAGGATTAGGACAGGATAGGATATATAGCATCAGATTCTGAGGTACCTCCCAAAAATTTAGATTTTGTATGCACATATCTATTGATAACGGAATTTGGAACAAACATAAATTTGCCAAACTATATTGAAATCGGTTAAGATTTGGATATAGCTCCCATATATATTTTCGACCGATTTCATGTATTTGGTGCACCAAACACGATATGTATGTCCAATTTTAATACAATTTAAAATAAGTAACGAAATTGGGAGCAAACATGAATTTGTTAAATTATATTGAAATCGGTTTAGATTTGGATATAGCTCCCATATATATTTTCGACCGATTTCATGTATTTGATGTACCAAACACTATATGTATGTTCGATTGGAATAAAATTGGGAATGTGTGACGGGATTTTGATTAGAAAATAAATTATTCAAATTATATTAAAATCGGTTCAGAATTGGATATAGCTCCCATATATATTTTCCGCCGATTTCACATATTTGATGACGAACTATATTCTAATTCGCTCAGATTTGATTATAGCTCCAATATATATTCTCGGCCGATTTCACATATTTGGGGGCATCAACCAAAGCGAGAGAGACGTAATCTGGCACCAGAAAAAATTTCCAAATTATATTGATATCGGTTGAGGTTTGGGTATAGCTAACATATATTTCGGCCGACTTCATACATGTTATGTACAAACACGATATATATGACTGATTCCAATGAAATTCAGAATATGTGGCGGAATTTGGTTACAATAAAAAATGTGATAAATTAATTGGAAATAAGTTAAGATTTTTTGGGATATGTTTTTAATAAGAACCATTGACCCACAACGCCTTAGGCTAACACTAGAAAACAACACAACATTAAATTTGAAATACGCTTATTACGGGGAAGTATGTTGCTACCTCGAATTCACTAATTGCAATAGAAATCCCACTCAACTTCAAAAAATTGCAGTTTCCTGGACGCTTGGTATTTGCTATTAAATAAATAAATCCGAATGACAAACCCTTCGTGTATGCATGTCATGCTTTTCTAATGGTTTTTTATTAACGCATTAAAGTAGTGCAATATTTTTTTTTTTTTAATTTTTAAATTTGTTTTTTTTTTATCCAACATCTATTTGTAAATAAAATTTTCAATGCATTAAAATCAAAAGGGGTAGCGAAGCGCACAGGGTTCAGGTAGTATATATATATATATATATATATATATATATATATATATATATATATATATATATATATATATATATATATATATATATATATATATATATATATATATATATATATATATATATATATATATATATATATATATATATACTGGTGGCCAAAACTAAAGCAACTGAAATTACAAGGAGAATGAATGCCCTGTACCTTTTTTAAAAATTAAGAAAATGAGAAAGTTTTTCGTGTTTTAAATTAGGTACTATATTCACTTTGTAAAAACCTAAAGCATAAAACCAAAATCCATTTTTATATAAAAAATAATGTTTGGTAAAGTCAATTAACCCGATTTTGGCTTGGACAAAACAAAAGCAACTCTGTTGTACATTCATATAACCGCTGCAATTTCAGTTGTTTTTACTCTGACATTTACCGCTTTTTGCTTCCTTCGACAATTTTGCTTGTCATAAATCCTTTTTGAGAAGTTTTTTACAACAGTATGTGTTTTTCTTTTCGTTTTTTAAGTACTGCCCAAAAAAATTAAAAATGACTAGAAGCAAATACAATACCTGAATAAAACAGCAAATTATCAGTGACTATCACAACAACATATCACAGAAAATGATTTCCGAGAAATATTTCATAAATATTTATGTGATTTCATAATTATTTCTGTATACTAAGTCGGTTTTTTGAAACTGGATCAGTAGTAACAGTCTATAACGGATGATGGCCGTGAAAAACTTCAGCCTGTACTGATCCACAAATTGTGAGA